GGAACAAAGAAGTATTTGATTGCTAACACATGGCAGGGTGCACAAGAGAGTATTTGATTGCTAACACATGGCAGGCCGGCACAAGAGAGTATTTGATTGCTAACACATGGCAGGGCTGCACAAGAGAGTATTTGATTGATAAAACATGGCACGCCGGCACAAGAGAGTATTTGATTGATAACACATGGCAGGCCGGCACAAGAGAGTATTTGATTGCTAACACATGGCAGGCCGGCACAAGAGAGTATTTGATTGCTATCACATGGCAGGGCTGCACAACTCAAATTGTAAGGCGGCCCGTAATCAATGTTCCCTCTGAGGTTTGTTGGTTCTTGTGCAAATTCATAAAGTTGTGTGCAAATTTTTACAGCATCAATTTTTTTGTGCGCAAAATTTTACAGCCTACAGACACAACTTGATGCGGGCGGGAAGAAAAAAAAAAGGACGGGGGGGAAATAGCTATTAAGAAAATAATAAGAATAAGGAATAGTTCGTTATGCAATAAATTTAATGTGGCACAAAGCAATGTTTTACAGTAACAAAGTTGTCGTATTCAGGGGATATATTGGAAGTAGCTGTTCTCAAGATGTCTTCCAAATAATCATCACTCAAACATAAGCGTTGTTTTTTGTGGGTTTTTTTTTTTTTTGGTATTTACTAATGTTCATTATTGGAAATGTCTGTTCACATAGAAAGTGGTTCCAAATATGCCAGCAGTTTTTAGTGCAACTTCGTAAAGATTTAATGCACTTCTCAAGGTCCAGACTTGAAAATTCATAATTTATAATTCAGTATATTGCCGAACATTGTAGTTTGATAACCTCAAGCTGAAATTGAACTGGTATGTCTTGGGATTCACATAAAATGGATGTTCAGCTAGTTTAAACTGAATTTCTTCTTCTTCACGTGGTCCACCAGGTCCAGTCTTCACTTGGTCCACCAGGACCAGTCTTTGCGTGGTCCACCAGNAATAATCATCACTCAAACATAAGCGTTGTTTTTTGTGGGTTTTTTTTTTTTTGGTATTTACTAATGTTCATTATTGGAAATGTCTGTTCACATAGAAAGTGGTTCCAAATATGCCAGCAGTTTTTAGTGCAACTTCGTAAAGATTTAATGCACTTCTCAAGGTCCAGACTTGAAAATTCATAATTTATAATTCAGTATATTGCCGAACATTGTAGTTTGATAACCTCAAGCTGAAATTGAACTGGTATGTCTTGGGATTCACATAAAATGGATGTTCAGCTAGTTTAAACTGAATTTCTTCTTCTTCACGTGGTCCACCAGGTCCAGTCTTCACTTGGTCCACCAGGACCAGTCTTTGCGTGGTCCACCAGGTCCAGTTTTAGAGTGGTCCATCAGGTCCATTCTTCACGTGGTTCACCAGGTCCAGTCTACACATGCGAGGTAAACACATCCTCATGTTCTCCATATGGCATGCTCACAAGACATTGGTGTTTGGCATGCTCACAAGACATTGGTGTATGACATGCTCACAAGACATTGGTGTATGGCATGCTCACAAGACATTGGTGTATGGCATGCTCACAAGACATTGGTGTTTGGCATGCTCAGACGACATTGGTGTTTGTCGAGGTCGTCATCCTTGGTTTGCCGCTGTGCATGCTACAGCTTCTTGGGGGCATAGGAGAGCGAGCCACAGGTCAGAGCGAAGCACCATGGGGCGACCAAAGATTGATTATCTACCCCTAAGGCCTACGACTGGGGTCTATTCAGAGATACTCCCCCCACCCTCCAAAAGTGCCCCAATACTTCATTTTTAAGTTATATTAGCTTAAGAAAACATACACAATAACATAAACACGATGTCCTTATTAATTCAAATAATTTGAAATCTGTTTTTGGACCCAGATGTACAAAATTGTTTTTTTTTAATTCTTGAAAGTCGTGGTCAGATTAATTTCTGTGCTCTAAAATTGTTCTCAAACAAAGCATTCTGTTTACGGTTTAAATTTCTGAGAGGTGTTTGGGTTCTAGAGTATACGTTGCCATTTTGAAAGATTCTGGACTTTGTGTTCGAGGGTTTTCTTAGTTTTTGTGTTGCAGACATGTTTCCATCACGCCATTTGTTGACAAGCTTTACAATAATTGACAAGAGAAGGTTTAGCATTGTTTCGGATGTAGGGTCGTTCAGGGGTGGGGGTAATTCAAGGGGCCGCCGGCACCAATGTCAGCTAAGCTCCTGCCTCGTGGTACGAAGGTATTGATGGTATTTATGAAAACAAGAAACATAAATGCTAAGTAAAACAAAAACAAATTCTCTCTATTAAAACATGCAGAAAATGTATGAATGCTTACGCAGCTATAGCCATTACCAAAAGGCCTAATTCCTTGAATTACGGAAACCTAATGATTGTTCTAAGATATATTTGTTGTGATCATTATGTCGCTACTTTAAGTGGACATAACCCATCAATTTACTGTTCAAAGAAAATACTAAAACATGTATTTTCCCATCAGCTGATAGGATAACTAAAAATAGAAAATTGACCTACTTCAAGGACCATGACGGAGAGAATTGAAAGACTGATGAAGTGCAGGGCCTTGCTGGACTTGTACACCTTGGAGTACTCCTGGCTGAACTGCAAGTACTTGGTCACGTTACTGCCCACGTGGTTAGGGACGAACTCGGCCACAAGGAAAAAGCTGTCGATAATGTTGTTGATCTCGAGCACGAAAATATCCTCTAGCGTCACTGGTTTCTTGGTTGTGCTTTTCACGGCACTGGCGGTGGTGGTGCCGGCCTGTTGAAGGGACGCCACTGAATTCGGGGCGTCCAGAACGGATTGATCCATGTTGACGACTGAAGTCCGGCTCGCAGCAGTGAGTTCCGAGGTGGTCGGTTTCAACGCCGACTGGCCTGTGACGGCGTCCTGTAGTGGCGGTTGGGTTGCTAAGCTTCCGGATACGAACTCTGCGGGTCCAGGTGGACCGAGAGTGGGAGGATCTGACGTCTGCGTGGGTTCGTATGACGCGGGTTCATATGACCTGGCATCTGATGACAATGAGGTTGGAATGATTTGTAAGGGTGGGGACGTTTCCAAATTAAAAGATTCTGAAAACTGAATCTTAGCTGTCTGTACACTTCCGGTTGTCGTCTGTACACTTCCGGTTGTCGTCTGTACACTTCCCATCGTTGTATGTACACTTTTCGGGGACTCTGTCGTTTGCAGGTCGTTAATTGCTCTTTTCGACCTTTGAACTTTGTTAGCAAGTGGCGATACTAATGACTTGTCCTTAGGAACGGCGTCATCCGGTGTGGCGCCTGGTAAGTTTGGGGGTGCATTAGAGACATCAGTAGAAGGATGGCTAAAATTATTTAAAGGATTCGGCAATTGCCCTCTCCTCTGATCAGCCGCCCCATCAACAGAAATATCACACTTGATAAGCGCCCCGTCGGCGGTGTATTTTGGCGCCCCGCCTGAACAACGATGTCGGGACGGATTCGGTAACTCCTCTCCGCGATCGCCCGCCCCTGATTCCGCGTCCTCACGACCTTGTGCATCCGATGAAAGCAGCTGATTTACACTCGATACCCGAAAATCGAGTATCGACCGCTGCATCTGTGTGGCCGGATTGACACGATTACTCGAGTATCGTTTCTCTCTCCTCCGATCCGAAAGCAATGCCCGTCTCCTTAGTCTCCCCGTGTGCGTGTTCGAATCTTTGGTTGAATTATTTTGTGAAGTCGATACAGTCATGGACATTGAGTTTATATTTAGCGTTGTAGACAAAGTCGGTGGAGCAGACGACAGTGATGGGGATGGTGATGAAGGTGACGATAAATGCGACGCTATGTTTTCATCTGATGAAACGTGTGAAAGAGACAATGACGATTCATCCATTGGCGACGTCATGGATGAGTTAATGAAAGACTGTATTTCTGAAAAGTTCATTCGTTGAAGTACTTCCGGTTCACTGTCGGTCGCAGACGACACATTGGCGTCAGCTTCCAGGTCAGTGAGTGAAAACATTTGCTTGGACGACCTGGCTGTTATGTCGGCCGTGTTGGTGGCATTACATGAACACGGGCAGGAACAAGCCGTCTGCTGGGGCAGGAGGTCACCCTTTGTTCGAAAAATGAAAGACTGTTCCAGAACGTTGATGACGTCAGCCATGGACTTCATGTCCTCGTCCTGGAAGGCGTCGGGAAACTTGTCTCTCAGGTGAACGACGAATCGGTTGATTTCATTCTCTTCGTTCTCAAACCGAACTGAGGAGGCAACAAAAATATCGGAACAATAGCATGGCAATGGCAGTGAGTTTGAACAATGACATGGCAGTGGGTTTGAACTATGATATGGTATAAAGTTTTAAACTATAACAGTTGCTAGTAGCCCCTGACCTTCACCTTTACTGGAACTATGACATGGCCGTAAGTTTTAAACTTTAACTGTTGCTTGCAGCCTCTGACCTTTACCTTTATATTATTTGTGAAATTTGTAAAGATTGTGTGTGTGGTATGGGGGGGGGAGAGAGGGCCAGTAGTGAAACCATCATTACAGTGACCTGGACATATAAAGATGTGCCATTAGAATCATAAACAACTTGACAATCTTTTAAAAGTTCAGTCCATCATGAATAAAACTTCATATTATTTGTTTCACACATAGAATCATTGTTTAATTTTCTAATCATTTATTTTGTTTCATAAGATTGTTTTAATCTTTTTAATGATGCTATACTAGGGGGGCTAGGAATAAGGCTAGGGGTCAGTGTGGGCCTAGGGACACGTCAAAGTGTCAGTGTGGTCCTAGTGACAGGACTAATTGTCAGTGTGGTCCTAGTGGCAGGACTAATTGTCAGTGTAAGCCTAGTGACAAGACTAATTGTCAGTGTGGTCCTAGTGGCAGGACTAATTGTCAGTGTAAGCCTAGTGACAAGACTAATTGTTAGTGTGGGCCTAGTGACAGGACTAATTGTCAGTGTAGGCCTAGTGACAGGACTAATTGTCAGTGTAGGCCTAGTAACAGGACTAATTGTCAGTGTGGCTCTAGTGACAGGACTAATTGTAAGTGTTGGCCTAGTGACAGGACTAATTGCCAGTGTGGCTCTAGTGACAGGACTAATTGTCAGTGTGGCTCTAGTGACAGGACTAATTGTTAGTGTGGCTCTAGTGACAGGACTAATTGCCAGTGTAGGCCTAGTGACAGAAGTAATTGTCAGTGTTGGCCTAGTGACAGGACTAATTGTCAGTGTGGCTCTAGTGACAGGACTAATTGTCAGTGTGGCTCTAGTGACAGGACTAATTGTCAGTGTGGCTCTAGTGACAGGACTAATTGTCAGTGTGGCTCTAGTGACAGGACTAATTGTCAGTGTGGGCGAAGTGACAGGACTAATTGTCAGTGTGGCTCTAGTGACAGGACTAATTGTCAGTGTGGGCCAAGTGACAGGACTAATTGTCAGTGTGGGCCAAGTGACAGGACTAATTGTCAGTGTGGCTCTAGTGACAGGACTAATTGTCAGTGTGGGCCAAGTGACAGGACTAATTGTCAGTGTGGCTCTAGTGACAGGACTAATTGTCAGTGTTGGCCTAGTGACAGGACTAATTGTCAGTGTGGCTCTAGTGACAGGACTAATTGTCAGTGTGGGCCTAGTGACAGGACTAATTGTCAGTGTGGCTCTAGTGACAGGACTAATTGTCAGTGTGGGCCAAGTGACAGGACTAATTTTCAGTGTGGCTCTAGTGACAGGACTAATTGTCAGTGTGGCTCTAGTGACAGGACTAATTGTCAGTGTGGCTCTAGTGACAGGACTGATTGTCAGTGTGGCTCTAGTGACAAGACTAATTGTCAGTGTGGCTCTAGTGACAGGACTAATTGTCAGTGTAGGCCAAGTGACAAGACTATATCCGCATTTCTTAAAATTGTTCAAGGTGTGAAACACGTTGGAGTAAGACATGAAAAAAAGACGCAGCAAAAGAAAGAACGTGTCGGCAAGACGCCTTCTTCAGAGAATAAACGCAGAAAACACACATAAAAATGACAACTGAGCTGAAATAATTTTTTTCGAAAGGACAGCAAGAGGGCAGTGGGGTGACAGCAAGAGGGCAGTGAGAGGGCAGTGAGAGGACAGAGAGGGGACAGAGAGGGGACAGAGAGTGGACAGCAAGAGGACAGCAAGAGGACATCAAGAGGACAACGAGAGAACAGCAAGACTACGGTTAGAGGACAGCAAGAGGAATGTGTTAGACTATTAATAAGTAAGAGAGTTAATATATACCGAGAACTGATTTAACAATTAGCTTTTACTTAGTCTCTCGGGTGGGGGTGGGGGGGGGGAGGGGTCAACCTTGAAAACAAACAATAACAATACTTATATTTTATATGTTATAAGTTATATGTTATATGTTATATCCTATTTCTGAGCTGGTAAGGGCGCGAAAAAAACATAGCTCGTCCCTTACCCACCCTCCAACACGTTCTACTATTTTATGTCTTTTAAATGTATATGTCTCAGTTAGTAACTGTCTCAGTTTTGATCTGTCTCAGTTTTGATCTGTCTCAGTTGTTATGTGTCTCAGTTCGTATCTGTCTCAGTTCTTATCTGTCTCAGTTAGTATCTGTCTCACTTCGTATGTGTCTAAGTTTTTTTTCTGTCTAAGTTCGTATCTGTCTCAGCTCGTATCTGTCTCAGTTCTTATCCGTCTCAGTTCGTATCTCTTTATGATTCCAACCCTGGGGGCTCGCAGCGTACGTTAAGGCTGTCATGTGACCCACCCACCCCCTCCCTGAATTTACTCAATTCCAAACTAATATAGCTAAACTGCTTGCAACCTCACATGGTTAAAAAAAAAACAACAACAGATGCTACGTATAAATATCGCGACTTGACATTTCACTGAAATCTTCACACTCATATAACCATATTCTTTTCTTTACAATAATAGTATAGATTTTTCAAACAGAAAATTTTGTTGTGGCAAATGCCAGGCCATAAATTATGTTAACCATTCCAATAGACTTGGTAAGGCTGCGTTGCTAGGCTACAACAGGAAAACAACACACAAGTGTCTCCTGGCCGACGGTCGGCTCGCTGGTGTTTGGATCACTAGAGCAACCATCAACTATTGATGCGCCGGCCGCTTCACTGAAACCTTCCAACACGCTCCGTGCACGTGGCCAGTACTCTCCAGTCCACACGAAGCTCTGTGGACTCTCTGGTCCCAGCGATATCTTTGATGTGGACATGGCTAGGAGAGTTGGCTACTGGACCGGATGAACCCTTGAGATTTTAGCTAGCACCAACCAATCGCACGGTTACAAACCCATATTTATAACTCAGTTAAAAAAGAATAGCACCTAGTGCTTTAAACCGATTACAATAAGTGGAATCTCTGAAATAAATGCGCTCGATATTTTTGACGATCCGTAAATTTAAGGCTAATCTTGTTAGGCCAGGGGTTCTCAACCTTCCTAATGCCACGACCCTTTAATACTGTTCCTCAAGTTGCGGTGACCCCCCGAACATACAATATTTTAGTTGCTACTTCATAAATATGTGTTTTACGATGTTCTTAGGCGTCCCCTGTGTAATGGTTGTTCGACCCCAAAGGGGTCGCGACCCACGGGTTGAGAACCACTGTGTTAGGTACTAACACTGCAACGCGGTTACCAATGCCGAAAATTGGCCACTCTTGACGATGAGTCCAAGCCTTACTTCCCTTGTATCGACATTTGTATTTATTTATGTTCTGCAACTTCACAAGTTTAAAGATTTTAAAACCAGGGAACTAAGCTACCTTTACCTCACTATAGAATAGTAATGTAGTTCATGCTGGGTATGAAACATGTGCAATCTGTTTTCAAATTATATTTCATCCTAAAAGCTTGGCTTTTAAAATAAGGATAGGCAATGACACGTGTTAAGTATAAATAGTAGGATGCCATTAGTGTTCATCGTGCTTTTAAAAAAATGGAAAATGGAGTTCTTCTTATTATTTTAAATGTACTCCATTCCATGTATGCTGAACTAGATTCAATGAAAACTCTAAAAAAAAAAAAATTATAATTTTTTTTTTTTT